AAACTCGTACTTAGGAACGTACGGTTTAAATTATTTCTTCTTCTTCTGAGACGGCTGGTCAGAATCACTAACCGCCCATACTTCTTTTCTTTTCTTGCTCTCTTCTTTTTTCTTGGCCGGTTGTGTAGGCCGGCTGTCTTTCTGTTTGTCAGACTTCTTGGAGTCCGACTGGTTACCAGGCGAGCAGAGGTCGGTTGCTTGAATATAGTTTTCCGCCTCCCTCAAGGCCGCCTGTAAAGTGAAAGCCCCTTTTGTAACTAGGTCGAACTTAAAAGTCGACCCGTCTCTCAAACCCTTGAAAAAGTCTGTAAAAGCTACCTCGTCAGACAGTCCTTGAATCTGAATTCTGATCAGATTGAACCGCCTGACATAGGAGCGCAATCCTTCACTCTCCCCCTGCTTAATGGTGCTCAAGTCAAGACTTGTTTTCTTCGCAGGAATGTTCATCAAGAAGTTGGAAGCAAACAGGGGGGCAAGCTTCCCGAAACTATCAATGGACCCACCTGGCAGGTTGCCAAACCATTGTTGGCAATTCCCTTCAATGTAGCCGGGAAGCATCGACACCAAGTGGCATCATCCAACCCTTGTAAGTACATGAGGTTGGTGTAAGCCATGAGGTGATCTTCCGGGTTGGAGGTACTGTCATAGGTGCCTACCAACACATTTTTAACCTTGGTCGGCTGTGCCATGTCAGTTATCTCCCGGGTGAACGCAGAAGGTTGTTCACCCAGGCGGAGCAGACGAAGCTGCCAGTACAGTGGCTGGATGATGTTGTATGCCGCCTGACCTCCAAAGAGGGCCGGCTGCATGAAATAGGGAGAATACTGACCGTAGACCTAAGAAGGTACATACGGTGCAGTCCCAATCATCTGAGGACCAGAATGGACGGTATTACCGCCTGTTTGGCTCTCATGCAAGGAAAGTACATTCCCTGCAGAGGTGTTGTTGAAGCTGTCTGGAAAGTTCGACGTAGAAGCCGACTCAGACAACTGCTTATTTCTCTTGCGAGTGATGATCTCTCGTGCGTCAAGAGTTGACTTTTTGCTTTCCACCGGCTGTTGAGTCCGGCGGGGATAGTTGGCATTCATCTTAGGCAAATGAATTTTGGACCAATCAATGGTCTCGGCTGCCTTCTCCTTTGGATGAGGAGTTGGTTGTCGATCTCTAACTGACTTCCCCTTCTCCAGAGGAGTCTTTTTTGCCGACTGACCCCTACTTGGGCCAGCCCGGCTCTTAGAGATCAGATCTATTTCACCCTTGAAACTTGTCATGAACTTCATGAGTTCATCTCGAGTGACGGGAGCTGATCCGCTGGCCGTATGGGTTTCCCCTTTCGGCTGCTCAGGGGGTCGATTTGTACCCGCCTAGTTGGCACCCCGCTCCAGAGTATCTCTAGGCTGAATGCGCTTGGTTATCAAGGAGCCATCCTCGGCTATATAAGTTTCGACCTGAGGATCTTCATCCTCTTGGTCCGTGAAAACTTCCAGGTCGTCGACCGGACGCTTAGGAGGTGGTACATACTCTTGAACCATCCTTGAGGTACTATCCCCACAGACGGCGCCAAATGTTTTAGGTGTTTTTGTCCCTCAGGAGAGTTACGTCACAAAGATTGGTCCGGCTGAGTTTTACCTGCAAAACAACGGAGACTCCGGGTGGTTGGAGCTCCGCCTCCGAAGATCAAGTTAGTAACTTGAAAAAGAATAAAGAGTGCGGAAATTTAGGTGGGGATCTGCTTGGATTCCAAGCTCAGGTGTTTTTCTGATGAGAGAGAATGTAGGTGTAATAAATGATTGAATGTGTCCCCAAAATTGGGAAATATCTCCCTATTTATAGGGTCATTGGAGAATGTGCCCCTATCTAGGTCACTTGACCTAGATTTTAGTCGGCTGCGCCGTTTTACAGCGCTTCTAAGGATTTGGGCCCTTGAAGGCCGCCATTTCAGAAGCCTATCTGAGGGGGCCACGTGTCAAGAGGATATTGGGGCACTTGAGCCATCCTGAGCTCACCACGTGGCCTCCTCTCATTGGTTCACCTGTCTAGGGTATTTTTACCCTAAACAGGCATATAGGGTCATTCTTATACCCTTCCTTCAACAAGTACTCACTTAGTCGATTATACCACATGCGCCCTGATTGTTTCAATCCATATAGAGATTTATTCAACTTTATTGAGTATTGTTCTAGAGAACCTGAATTTGCTGCTTATGGCAGTTTAAATCCTTCTGGGAGTTTCATGTAAATGTCATTATCCAGTGGGCCATATAAGTAAGCTGTGACTACATCCATTAAGCATAAATCAAGTCCTTCTCTTATTGCCAGACTGATTAGAAATCTAAAAGTAGTTGCATCCACCATAGGAGAGTATGTCTCCTCATAATCAATACCGGGTCTTTGTGAGAATCCTTGTGCAACAAATTAGGCCTTATATCTTACAATAATACCATTTTCATTTATTTTTCGTACAAAGACCCATTTATATCCCACTGGTATTACACCTTCAGGTGTATTGACTACAAGTCCGAATACTCCTCTTTTTTCGAGAGATTTCAATTCAGTTTCAATTGCTTCTTTCCATTTTGGCCAATCGCTTCTTTGTCTACATTCATCAATGGATTTTGGATCATGATCCTCATCATCATTCATGACATCTAATGCTACATTGCATGCAAAAACATCATCGACGTCGATTTGGTTTCGGTTCCATGTAATTCCAGACATGATAAAATTTGTTGAAATTTCTTCATTGTCATGTACCTGAATATCCTTTTCCATCATGTCTAAGGTCTCTTTTGGAGATCCTTCAAAATTAATAGCTTCCTCGGTCTGGCCATTGTCAATTGTTTCTCCTTTTCTCTTTCGAGGATTTTTATCTTTGGAACCGAACTTTCTTTGGGTCAGTTAATGAGTCTGGCAATTGATTTGATAAGTTCTGTAAATGAATTATCTTTTGGACTTCCAACTCACATTGTTTAGTACGAGGATCTAGATGAGATAATGATAATTCATTCCAACTAATTTCCTTTTCCAGCTGTTTGTTTTCTCCCCCTAATGTTGGAAAAACTGATTCATCAAAATGGCAATCTGCATAACGAGCCGTAAATAAATCTCCTGTAGTTGGCTCTAAGTACTTAATTATCGATGGATATTCATATCCAACATATATCCCTAGTCTTCTTTGAGGGCCCATTTTAGTGCGTTGTGGTGGAACAATTGGAACATATACTGCACATCCAAATATTCTCAAATGGGATACATTTGGTTCCTGACCAAAAACCAATTGTGATGGGGAGAACTTATGATGACTTGTTGGCCTGATGCGAATTAGTGTTGCTGCATGTAATATAGCATGCCCCCAAGCAGAAATTGGGAGCTTAGATTTCATAAATAATGGTCTAGCAATCAATTGCAAACTTTTAATTAATGATTCCGTAAGACCATTTTGTGTGTGAACATGTGCTACAGGATGTTCAACACTGATCCCAATTGACATGCAATATTCATCAAATGCCTGGGATGTGAATTCACCAGCGTTATCAAGACGAATAGCCTTAATAGGAAAATCTAGAAAATGTGCTCGTAATCTGATCAACTGAGCAAGTAGTCTCGCAAACGCCAGGTTGCGAGTTGATAACAATGATACGTGTGACCATCTGGTTGATGCATCTATTAAAACCATTAAATATCTAAATGGCCCACACGGGGGATGAATTGATCCACATATATCCCCTTGTATACGTTCTAGGAAAGTAATAGATTCGGAATTTATTTTAGCTGGTGATGGCCGAAGTGTTAACTTGCCTATTGAGCAAGCAGCACATGAAAAACTATTATGAAGAATCTGCTGGCTCTTTAATGAGTGTCCACATGAATTTTCAATTATCTTTCGCATCATTATTGAACCGGGATGGCCTAACTGGTCATGCCAAACTTTAAAGTCATCAGTAAACTTCTGGTTTACTATAGCATGTGATTCAATTGTATTGATTTTTGTATAGTACAAACCAGTGGAGAATGTAGGTAATTTCTCCATAATAAGTTTATTGCCTTGAGTTACACTCGTGATTTGAAGGAACTCATTATTTCCTTCACTAATTGTCTCAATATGGTATCCATTTTTTCGAATATCTTTAAAACTTAGTAAATTTCTTTGAGACTTAGGGGAGTATAATGCATCAATAATTTCCAATTTTGTTCCCCTAGGAAATAAAACATTTTCTCTTCCGGAGCCTTCTATAATTTTTGTACTACCTGATATAGTATTCACATTTATTTCTTTCATTATCAATTGCGAAAAATATTTCTTATTCTTAAGTATGGTATGAGTGGTAGCACTATCAACTAGACATAAATCTTCACCATTGATTGATGATTGAGCTCCAAAGGGATTCATATTCTAATAGAATTAAAGGAATTAAAATAAGATTCACAAAATCAAATCAAATAACTTAAATCAATAAATGACTAAATAATGATAATATGAAATATCTGAAAACATAAATTTTCCAAAAACATGAAATTTCCCATAAAGCATAAAGTCATAGTAATACAATAAAATTATATAATAAAATACATGCAAACTAATTAATAGAGTTTATTCGTCAGTGGATCATAATTTATTCAATTGTTTTCCTCAGGATTAGGTAAGAAATCAGCCGCTTCTAGGTGAGTTGTATCACCGCAATCAAAATCACCTTCGCCATCTTCATACACCAAATTTGTTTCCACTTTCTTTCCTTTCTGTTTGATTGATTGTTGATAAAGGTCTACTATATGTTTTTGTGTGCGACACACACGTGACCAATGACCTTTTCCTCCACAACGATAGCATATATTTTCATTTTTATCCTTTTCATTCTTACTTCCATCTTTATTGTCCCACTTCTGGTGAGAGTATGAGTTCCCAAAATGACCACCTCGACCACGACCATATCCACGTCCGCGGCCGCGACCACGACCTCGACCACGGCCTCAACCATGACTGCTGGCGTGATCTCTAGCCTTTTACTCTTTCCCACTATGGGATGTCGCATTCGCTTCAGGGAATGGAGTAGAGCCAGTTGGGCGTGATTCATGATTTTTCATTAATAGTTCATTATTTTGCTCAGCCACAAGGAGACAAGATATCAATTCTGAATATTTTGTAAAACCCTTTTCACGGTATTGTGTCTGCAGGACAACATTGTTTGCATGAAAAGTAGAGTATGTTTTTTCTAACATTTCTGCATCCGTGATTTTCTCTCCATATAATCTCAATTGTGACGTAATTCTAAACATGGCTGAGTTGTATTCACTCACAGACTTAAAGTCTTGTAATCTTAAATGTAACCAATCATAACGAGATTTTGGTAATATCACTGTTTTCTGGTGGTCATACCTTTCCTTAAGATTACTCCAAAGGATTTGTGGTTCTTTAACAGTCAAATACTCAATCTTAAGGCCTTCATGAAGGTGATGGCGAAGGAATATCATGGCTTTAGCTTTGTCTTGGCTTGTTGTTGTATTATTTTCTTTGATAGTGTTACCAAGTCCTTTTGCATCTAAATGTATTTCAGCATCTAACACCCAAGACAGGTAGTTGTTTCCAATAATATCAAGAGCAAACAAATTCGAGTTTTGCAAGGTTTGACATGATTCACTTATATATAAAACAATATTATAAATAGGAGGACATTTAAAAATAACATACTTGCATTTAATGATTATCTATTATATTTTGGAGAATATACATGTCAGATTGATCAAACCGAACAAATAGAATACTATTTAATTAGATATAAAATTTATAATACTAGTATTAATCATAAACATGCTATCAAACACACACAGTATGTTAGATAATCGTTAAATTGTTTAAGCCGCAAACACGCACAGTATGTAATATTAATGTTAAAGGTAAACATGCAAAAGGAATTATCATTATTATGATGCTAAAAAGACCATGCAAAGATAATTAAACTGACACCTAATCAGTTATGTCATGCAAAAGGAATTATCATGCAAAAAAATTATCAAATTATGTGAAACATGTACATAAAGTTATCTAAACCAACTGACACATAATCGGCCAAACTCTTCATATGAATTAATTACAAATCAATGATTGTTTCATGATAAACAATATCAGATTACAACATAAACAAAATTAAATCGGTAATTGTTCTCATAGAATCTAATGTAAATTATCGGTAATAATTAACATCTAGAATATTCATATTAATTTATATACAATCGAGATAACACATATATAATACAGTATATTCAAACCTTTTATAGTTAATGAGATCTATTTTAATTGTCCGCGATAAAAAAAAATATCAAATATAAACAACAGGATCTAATAAAAGTTGAAGACGGTGATTATATATTCCTAAGCAAAATCATGCTTATACATAATTTGTTAAAACGAAACTATAAAATCAAATGATGAGTAATAGAATTAGTAGTGTGCACACAAGTCAATAAAGCAATGGAAATATATACTTTGCAGAAGCCAATCTTGTTGTCAAATAATCCAAATTTTACTCCGTATTTTAAAAACAAGTGTGTCTCAATAAACAAAATAAAAAGTCAATTTCTATGTATCAAACAATACTAAATAACTTTATAATAATTGCTTCACAACACACGTCATTATAATAGCTTTCAAATCCTAATTCCATATCAAAAAGTATAAGCATAATAAATATTATTAAAGTATAAAAAGGTATAGCAGAACATACTAGTTTGGTGGTAACTAAAACAAAGTTAATTAATGAACAGTTCAAAACAGATTTATATAAAAGATTATTTGCAAATTAGAATACGAAATACATGCAACATAATATTGTGGCTACGACGAATACGAATGAAGTATGTGGTAATTGTATAATAGTTACGTTATATTAAACGTACCTGAATTTAGAGTAGTATAACTTAATTCAACTATGTAGAGCTTTGGCGCTGATAACGTGTTAAATATAGAAGAGAAATATAGAGAGAGAGAAATATAGAGAGAGAGAAATATATTTTTCGTTCTGTATATTCTGTCATCCAGTACGGGATATATATACATGAATAATATCTAGAGTTCCATCAACGGATAAGATCAAATACCCAACTCTTGAGTATTCTAGATGGTACATGGGATAATAGTCATACACATTTAGATATTTCATAACAGTTTTTATTTTATTTTTTTTTTTTTTTTTGAGGGGGAAGATTAAAATTCATTAATAATAAGCTATACGGCACTTACATAAGAAATCGTAATCGAACATTACTAAGACAATTGAACCAATTACAAGTTCGAAATAAAATAAACTACAATTGCACGCGCAAATCGACTTCTTGAAATACCCTTGTCTCATATAACGATGTCCTATGCAGCCTCTTGCAAGGGGGTCTGGCAATAAGTTGTAGTTTCTGACGTGAACCTTAATTGACTCAGAAGCCTGAACTCCTCGACCTGAATTCAAATTTGGTGTCGTATAATTTATCATTGACAAAACAATCTCCGAATCAAACACAGATTTCGATTTGGAAGCATAACCCTTCAACCCAAACCAAAAGAAGATCAAACCAAAGCCCCATAGCCAAAAAACCCGGCTCAAATCCTACACCAGAAGATCGGCACACCGATCTGCACTCCCCATAGCACACAAACGCACCACACAAAAAGAAAAAATAACAAACCCGAATAAACCACACACACAAACAAAGAAAAAAGAGACCCAAAAACCGCACACACCACTAATAGAAAAGGCAGAAGGAAACCTAAAAAAGAAAACTAAGAACGTAAACATAACAACCGACCCCGCATCCCATGCGAGCACCACCACCAATTCTCCGAGATTCTCCAACCCAAACCACACACCGCCGGGCAGTAAGGCCTGAACCGCAGAGACCCGCCCGATAGGCCCAAACCCCACAAACCCCTGAACCGCGGCAGCGACGGCTGGAAGCACCAGACTGAGAACGGCCCTACGCGAGGGACTCAGAGGGAGATAACTCTCCCTCTCCATTCTCATACAAAACGTCGCGACGACGGGCGAGGCGGTGGAGTAGAGAAACGGCAGAGAAGCGGAATAGAAGATCGGCGGCATGCCGGCTTCAAGGCCGGTGAGGATAAGAGGCGGCCAAAAGGGGCAGCGGCGCTTGTTGTTAGGCCGACCGGACAAAAAACCAAAAGAAAAACGAAAAAAACACCCTAAAAAAGTATATCGGAGGCTCGCCGACGATATGGCATGGGCGGTGAGCCACACGCCCACCGGCGAGCCTCATGGACGGAGAAGATTTTTTGCGAGAAGGGTAGGGTTTTGGGAGAGAAAAAGCTACTAATATCTACTAAAAAAATTAAAAATTAAAAAATATGTTACCAAAGAGAATTTCCCTAAAAATTATTATTAATTTAAAAATAAATATATATCTATATTTTAGACATGTTCTCTTCAGCTTATTTTCAGTTCAGCTCAACTCTAATAAGTTCATTTCAATTCAGCTCTTATAAGTTCAGTTCTTATCTTAATTTCATTCTCTCATAAAATATTCAGTTCAGTTCAGCTCAGCTCAGGACATTCAATCAAAACATACCCGTAGTATTTAAAAACTCTGACCACAAAAGACACATGTTCCCATCCTATTACACTTCTCAATCTTATTCTATAATTTAAGTGTCACATGTCTTCTTACATTTTTAGTGTTTTAAGTCTTTCTTTAATTATTTCATTAAACTTATACTTCATCTTTCATGCGCACTTCATCTTCATCTCCCCTCTTCAATTCAACCTTTTCCTTTTCTCTTTTTAATTTTATCCCTTCCACCTCCTTTATTTAAGCCCCATTTTCAATTAAAATTCCAACAATTTAATTTTTAAATCATATTTTCGATTACACATTATACCTATAATGACTTATTGATATTTTCTCACTCATCTTTCAATGCAATTTTTTGTGAACAGCTCGTACATTACATGGGCCAAAAGGCTAGTTAATTTATAAAGAAAAAATGTAATTAATAATCCTACATTTTGGTCGGTCTTTCATAAACAATCCCACCTTTTGAAATTCCAAAAATAATCTCACTTTTGACCCCCATCTTCCATTAACAATCATATTTACCTACAACCTATTAAATAGGTTAATTTTTTATCATTTTCTTTTTATTTTTTTCAAAATCTCTCCTTGGGCCACCCATCCACCACCATAACACGCCCTGAATTGCAACCCCTGCCATGGCCACCCTCATCCCCACCCCCACCCCCACCCCACCCACCCACCCACCACGAAACTCACCAGCAAAACCCCACCCAGCCTCGAAAAAAACCACCCAAGCCACGAAAAAACACCACCCAGCCTTGAAAAACACCACTTTGCCCCGATCTAACACGAAGATCGACCAACCACCCAGCGTCACCACCAAGACCAGGAACACCACTCACACCGCCTTCACCACCTAGACTAGGCAACACCACTTACACCGCCTTCACCACCACCAAGACCCCCGCGAAAACCTACCATCTTCAATAAAATCACCCCTCATGAAAACCAAGCCACCACCTCCACAAAATTCACCCATGAAACCCACCTATACTATCCCCACGAAACTCGGCCCTACAGCCCCACGAAACCCAAGCACCACCCCGACGAGATCCCACCCCCATAAAAATCTCAAAACTTAAGTCCCAACCCTGACCAAATCCCCACTCTGCAGTCGCTGATTTCTAGTTGCAATTGCCTAGATTGGGTATTCGAATTATATTATCATTGAAATTTGATGGTCGTGGATGGGGTGTGCGATTGGTGGTGATTCTGGGCATGAGGGTGGTGGTTTCAGGGGTTGCCGGGGAATGCAAGGGCGGGGATGAAGAGAGGAGTACAGTGGCGGGGCTGGGTTTTTTTTTTAAAAAAAAAAAAATTAGACTAAACCTATTAAAATCCGGCACGTGTCTTATATAACCTAAGAAAATCGGTTACCAAAACATTACAACCGGTCAGGGATTGTTAATGGAAGATGGGGGGGCCAAAGGTGGGATTGTTTATGGAATTTCAAAAGATGAGATTGTTTCTGGAAGACCGACTAAAGGTGGGATTATTAGATTACATTTTTCCATTTATAAATAGCTTAACCATTGGAGCAACAAATAGCTAGAATTGTAGTTACTCTTACAAGGTGTTTGATAGGAGGGATGGGATTGAGTGAGATAAGAAGGTGGGATAAGAAGGCGGATTAATAAATGGGATAAGGATAAAAATAGTGTATTCCATTGTTTGATATGGGTTGGGATTAGATTGGAATAACAAATAAAAATACAAAATTACCCTTACTATCCTTTCTTCACTCTCTTTTTTTTATTTGATTAAGGGTAGAAATGTCTTTTACCCATTAAATATAATCTCCATCCCTTATACCACGCCCCCTTAATTATTAACTAGGTTAAGTCTCGTGTCATGCACGGTCATAATTAAATTTTACAGCAAAATAATGGTTTAAT